AAGATAACGATGCACTTTTATAAATAGCAGCAGTGTTTATTGAAAAACTGTATAAGAATAACACATTAAAAAAAGGGGCGTAGTAGAAGGTTACAGAGTACGACGTGATGCATTATGCAACAAGGAGCTCTGCAACAACACAAAAATATATTAATAAACATAGGTTGAATTATGCAAGGACAAACTAAAAAGCATGTATTCAGTTCACATTCTGTTAGCTGTTAAGGTCATACTAAATAACACACACAGGCAAAACTAAGATGAACAGATGGTGCAAAGGTAGGAGGACGACAACTACAGGAACAAAGCGCATCAGATGGCATCAGATATCTGTGATTATTGCCAGTTCTCATCACACAGGCAAAATGGAAAGTTCCCACCTATGGTGCTGAGCTTTTTAAGGCTGGTGTATGAGACAAGAAGTACCTTAGTTATATCTCACACAGGCTCCACCCTCTACTGGACTCTATGGTTACTACTTCTCAACCATACTATGTGAGCATTCATCAACTGAGATATCTATAACCGTAGCCGGCCCCTGGGGCGGGCCTACCTGAATGCACGCGCAAGCCCACCGTATATAAGGCGGCCTCGCCTCCTGACTGTCATCCCTTTCTCTTCAGCGAGCAAGGGAACAACTGAGCGCTAAGACATGTCTGGCTCCTTCTCATCATCTGTGCTTGCTGCGGCAACACAGGACTGGTGAGGGGGGGCGGGGGGGGGGGGGCTGTGGGTCCCCGCCCCCCCTGGACATAGTGCACTTATGTGTTCCCATGCTCCTTAGGGACCCGGGAAGCATGGTGCACAGTGAGCCCCATACAGGGCTGGGAGCCCTCCTCACTGTTTTCCAGGCACACTATTCACGAGGTAAGCATGAATAGTGTGCCCTACCAGCCAGGTAAACTGCGGCCCCCACTTCTCCCCGGTCACAACCGGAGGAGAGGAGGTTGCGGTGTAGTGGCTGTTAGCCAAAAGCCGGTCAGGGGCAGTGTGGTGACTCGATGTTGTTGGACGACAGGGCGTTTAGGCATCAGGGCTCCACCCACTGTACCCATAGAGTCCAGTAGAGGGCGGAGCCTGTGTGAGATATAACGGTGGGTTACGTATTGTAACCCTAGTTATATAAGCACAGGCGGAGCCCTCTACTCTGGGCCCTGTCTGTCCTATGCTGCTCGCTGAAGAGAAGTGTAGGATGACAGTCAGGAGGCGAGGCCGCCTTATATACGGTGGGCTTGCGCGTGCATTCAGGTAGGCCCGCCCCAGGGGGCCGGCTACGGTTATAGATATCTCAGTTGATGAATGCTCACATAGTATGGTTGAGAGGTAGTACCCATAGAGTACAGTAGAGGGCTCCGCCTGTGCTTATATAACTAGGGTTACAATACGTAACCCACCGTTTTCTTATTCTTTTCCAAAAAGATGTAGGTTTGGATATATTAAAGAGGACATATTCTGCTCATTTTCAATTTTATATTTGTGTGTAGTGTCTCTACTGTGACATGTCTCCATGCATTGATGTTCAAAAAGCTCTTTATTTTCCTCATACTGCCTGTGCTGCAGCACCTCTTTTCACCCTCTGTCTGAAACCAGAGCCCAGTCTGCTCTGATTGGTTAGCTGGCTGGCTCTGTTGTGATTGGTCAACCGCTTAGATATATCCCGCCACTTAATCACGTACAATGTGTTGGAGCGCTAGCCAATAGAAGCGCGAGTGTTATGTAGTGATGTCGTGGAAAATGTTACCATTTGCAGACTATTTACATGCACCAATACTAACACATCCCATGAAATGTAAAATGCCACAAAGTATAAAAGGGTCCCTTAAGTTTATTATTGTAAGTCTAGATTAGACTTGTATTCATATACTGTAATGGTTTACTTTTTCTTTAAGAGATCGCTCCCTGGTGCATTTACTTCAGGGATGCTGTGGATGTATGGAGTTTAGTGGAAGCTGCTAGACTAGCTGTGGAGACACAAGTGTACTGTTTCATGTCCAATCAGTTTGAAGTTTTATCACATCCAGCATCATCTCTTTAGATTTATCCGCTTGACACATGTGGAACTAGGTTTTTTTCCCCCCCCTCAACTCTAAAAAGGATTTTATAAAGCTACCTCGGATAGACACACGTAGTCCATGACAAAAAACATTCGTGCAATTACAGCTGACAGTTGATGTTAAGCAGAGGGGATTCATTGATGCACTCTCTTTCACCCTTCTCCTTCTTCTCCCTGCCCAGGCCTCATTATCCACGAGGGATCGTCAGTGTATCGGATCTTCAAACGGTGGCAGGCTGTCAATCAGCAATGGAAAGTACTGAACTATGAGAAATCAAAGGACCTGGGCGACCCGCTGAGCTCGAACAGAAAGACGGGGGCGCCTGGATCCCGCGGAAACCCTCACGGTCTGGCCAGCAGCAGCGCGGGGCGACAGAGCAGGAGGTTAAGAACTATTCTGAACCACCACTGTGGATACACCATCTTGCACATCCTCAGCCAACTGCGGACACACGACCCGCGGATCAGCGCCGTCGCCAGCAGGGAGGTGGTGATGAGGGTCACCACCGTATGAGAAGCACCGGGGCATGCGTGATGGGATCAACCTGATGTAAATGAGCCTCGTGGACCTATTATTAAAGAACTACAGACTCATGTGAGTGACGCCTCATCGACAGACACTTGAGGATGTCTCCTCGTGTTTTGTAAGAGGCCAGATTCTCCTTTTCAATAATTAAAGAACTGATGGATGCATTAAAAAGACATGAAAATGAAATGTATGCAGGAAAAAAAAGTGTAACAGGCTTTGTAACCTAATCCAAGATGACGAGACGTTTTTTCCAGTTCAATATCAGGATGCACAAAGACATGTTTCTTTGATTTTAACCTCTTGGTTTGATTTGTATCTTCTCTTTTTTTGTTTTTTACTCATTTTGATTTTGTACGGATGTATGATTTTAGAGGAAATCATGTAACTCCATACATGCCAAGCATTTTCAGATGACTATGTGTACCGATCTTTAACATTTCTACAAGATAACCAATGCTGGTGAAAAAAAAGACCGAAAACTGAAACAAACAACAGGAGGGAGAAACACAGGGGCGACAACAGAACAATAAGTCATAACAAGTACAAAAAGAAAAAGATAAAAAAAGAATTTCAGTGACACTTAACCTTTCTGCAATAAAGATACGTATGTACATTTCACAGGGAATTTTGCATGGGTATATAATTTATTCTTCATCACATAACATAAGCACATGACAAAGTTGCTCTATTTCGAATGGTGCTTGCCAAAAATAAACACTTTAGAAACATCTGATTTCATTGCACCCACTTTTTGTCAACATGACAAATGGCAGTGTGTTACAGCTATTTCAGCTAAAATACAGATTGTTGCTGCTGTGTGCTGATTCAGATTTGATAATAAGTAAACTATTGGATTAAAAATGGGGATCAGACGATCTCTTACTACTCATTCTCACTCTGTCTCTTCTTTTCCTGAATCTTAAAGCATGCGTGGCCTGCAGGGTGTCGTTGTCTGCTGTAAAGTGATGTGATGTTGTTTCAACGTCATCAACTGCAAAAAGGATTTTTATGTATTACCTTGTTTAAAAGGGCCCTGTTTTGCTAGTTTTCAGGTTTCGTAATCGCATGTTGTGTCTCTAATGTGACATCTTTACATGTTTTAATGTTCAAAAAGCTCTTTATTTTCTCATACTGCCTGTGCTGCAGCACCTCTTTTCACCCTCTGTCTGAAACCAGAGCCCAGTCTGCTCTGATTGGTTAGCTGGCCGGCTCTGTTGGGATTAGTCAACAACATAGAGATTTCCTGACCCTTAGCCTATCACGTACAATGTGTTGGAGCGCTAGCTAATAGAAGCGCAAGTGTTACATACTGATGTCACTATGTTACAGCAGTAAACAAAGGAGTCCAATGGAGGCATGTCAGGCAGGAGGGGGAGTGTGCGGGAGAGAAACTCCCTTTGGAGGGAACTTTGGGATTTTAACCTTTGCAGACCATTCACATGCACTAAAGCCATGGAAAGGGAAAACCCCCAAAAAGCAAAATAGCGCCCCTTTAATCTGACTAAAACCCCTCGAAAGCAGATTACATTTAATCAGAGTAAAGCTGCACCAAGTAGGCAATTCATTGAGTCCACTTGAGACATTTTCATGCAAAAAAAATCCAATTATTCTCTGGGTGCCTATCTAATATTTTGTTTTTGTTTTATTGAATAGTAAAAAGACTATTGGGGGGTGTTAAATAGCACACGATAGTTATTTTGGGAAACAAGTGGATATTTTAGCCTATTTTTGGATGTTACACTAATTAATTGGGAAAGTAGTTGGTCTATTAACCAGAAATGAAAAATCATAATTAGTTGCAGCCCAAGTAAAACAGATTTTATGTTGTTTTAAGCGTCAAACATATAAAAAACTGTATTCAAGCTGCTCAGATTCAATCGATCAATTCAAGTAAAGTCAAAAACAAATCTGGTTAAATCCAGACACCAACATTAAAACTGATACATTTCGTATGACTATCTGGGCTCCCAAGGATAATCAATGAAGACTTAAAACTAAAATCTCAACTCATATTTTCAGCTTTTATAGTAGGTTTTACACAAAATAACTTTTAAATTACTTTAATAACATAAGAGGAAGTAATACATACATCTCAAAGTCAAAATATGATAAAAAAATATATATATAAATACACTCAATAACCAGTAGAAAAACACCTCAGTTTACATCCCATGTACACGATAAATAAAACCTTGTGTGTAAATGAAATGTGTCAGGAAAAAAGAATAGTTCAGTCAGTATTTGTCTCCACCCAGTGGCTGCTGCTGCTCTGGTCAGCTTCTTCTTCACAATACACTCCTTTCTGCTGCTAGAGGGCGTTTTACAGTCTTTTATTTCGAAATAAGTGAGTCTAGTTTCCGGCTGATCCAGGATCAGTTTAGACTGTTTTACTTTGGAATCCGGGTCATGTGACTTCAGGATAACTTGTGAAACTTGCAGGTGTGTGTGTGTGTGTGCTCAGGTAGCTTCCTCCCCCGCCACCCTCCGTCCTTACCTGTCCGGTGAGTCTGCTCCTCACACCGGAGGGACGGTGTCCAACCTGCCGCTGTGCTCCATTGAAACACCTGGGAACCGAGAGGGGACAGCATGAGTCACATCACACCGGAGAGGAGTTTCGACTGAAGTTTTAGACCTTTTTTATAGATAGAAAAGCCCGAAAATGACACAGAGGAGGAAGATGTTTTCCTTCCTGCGGTCAGGTAAGTCAGTTTGATTAAATGTCGCAACACTATTTGCATCCTAAAGCAAACAAAAGGGGAGTTAAAAGTTTAAAGTAATCTGCTAAACCTCTTGTTCCTCGCCATATACACAAAGAAGTTGCTCTGATGTCCTAATAGGAAGAAAATACTCTAGTTAAATACTTCAGTCCTGGATCTTTTCATAACTACCACGTGTGAATTAAAGCCACACGAAATTACTTTATACTCAATAGTAGGTTATCTATTTAATGATGTCAATGATTTAATGATATGACATTGTTTGTAAATTACAAACAATGTCATTACAAATTGTAATGCATTGCATCATGGCCTACACTCCATACAGCAGACATTACCCATTGGGAACCAGAGAAATAGTATGTTTCTGTCCCATAGGACACACATAAGAAAATGGCTAAATCATAGTTAAAATAATAGTAAAAACTACAATTAGGAAGTCTGTATTCTAGATTAAAGTCTGGAATAATATAATACATGTTGTTATGCTGTTATGGTGTACACATTTTGGTTCAAACGAGTTTCAATGGGGATATTGTGTACTTCAGAATCTGGGTGTCTGTATTTCATGTTCTCACTTTATTATACACTTATTATAGGAGGAGCTGAGGTTTAGCTTCCAAAATTGAAAAAAAGACACCCTTGCTTAATTTATGCTATTTAAATGAACACATCCAAAATAATAAAAAAATTGCCCTCATGTTGAAAACTGTAAATATCAAGTTCACATTTAAGGTACTTGTACTTTATTTGTTTTGGCACTTTCTACTACTCCGCTACATTTTGAAGGGAACTTGTACTTCTTACTCCTAAATTATATGTCCATTTTATTTTACATTTAAAAAAGTTCTGATAAGTTTTGAATCGTTGTTTTCTGTCTAAAGGGGTCAGATTTACCTACTTTTACCTGAGATGACTCTTCTCCTCACACGTCCCCTGATTTATTTAAAAGGATTTATTGGGTAACAAAGTTCACATTGAGCTCATCGTGCTCAATGGGATCCATCATTTCCTGAGGTGTAATCTAACGTCCTCGTAAAAAAAGTCACTGTTCTGCTGAGGTGAGGCTGGATCACACTCAGATGGCACAGAAAGAAGTACTCAGAGTATTACTTACTTACAAGTAGCATTACTTTATTACAGGTACAGGTTCTGCCTTTAAATCTTACTTTAGTAAAAGTATTTTCATCAAAATATGAAGTAAAATAAAAGTACTAATTTTGCTTGGATGGTCCATTTTAGATTAATCCATTATATATAGCTAATTTGAAATACATCTTGTACTGCCGGGTAGCTTCATCATTAATAATACATCATATGTTATTATTTAATTTTACTTATATTAATAACCTTAGGCTGTTAAATAGTTATATAAGAATTGCACATTCTTTTTGTGGAGTAAAAGTACCTCAATTTGTATTTATGTACAGTATGTGAGTATACTGTCATGCACATACAAGTGACCCCTTAAAAAACACAAAAAAGTACCTGTTGCAGAGGTGAAATACTTTCCGACAACAACAAAATTACTGACATTATAACTTTACTTAACGATAATGAGGCGATTATTTTTGCACTTTTTTCTCATGGTTTGTCTGTATGTGAAGATTTCCTTAAATCTCAGTTTAATTACCCGTTTGCCTGCAGTGAGAGACCGTCCTCCGGAGGATATCCACATCTCCTCTCTGCCTCCCAGTGTTCCCACAGACCAGGAGCCAGAGCAGAACGGAGGACAAGGTGAGGATGTTTGCTTGTTGACAACTTCTGTTTTTGTTTTGTTCCTGCACACTAAAGCATCATGCTAATGTTCAGGTTCATGTTTTTATTTTTGCCTCTACTGTGACATGTCTCCATGCTTTCATTTTCAAAAAGCTCTTTATTTTTCTCATACTGCCTGTGCTGCAGCACCTCTGTTCACCCTCTGTCTGAAACCAGAGCCCAGTCTGCTCTGATTGGTTAGCTTAGAGATGTCCCGCCCCTTCGCATCACTTACAATGTGCACGTGCTGTCCAATGGCGTTTACGGCTTTTACGGGATTTGAGTCTTTGCAGACCATTTACATGCACCAAAACGTACATTATATAACACACTACAGGAAAGAGAAAACCTAACAAACATAATAGAGCCCCTTCAAGGCAAAATGACTTTCTTGATAGAAATGGTGGTGGTTCACCGCTTTGGTCCTGACTGATATATCTAAAATATCTCAACGACTCTCTGATGGATTGCCATTACATTTCAGTATGTGCATATATTCCAAATGAATCCTGAATGAATGATGAACCCTGGTGACCTTACATTTAACACCAGCTGTTAAACGTTTTACCTTGACATCTACCGGGCAATTAAGTTTTATTTCCAGGAAGCCTATAATGCGCATTTACAACTCAGAGGCAATTTAGAGTGTTTTACACGGGAAAATAAAAGCAATGAGTTTTATAATGCTGTGATCAGCAAACATTAAGACAACCTCGAGGGATAAAGGTGTTTTATTTGTAGATTTTAGCTCAGCTTTTAATACATTCCCATCATACCTGTTTGTCCAGAAGTTAGATGACGTGTAAGTTAATTCTCGTATTATTTAATGATTAAAAGACAGATGTTTAACATGTTAAACATCACCATGTTAGCGTATTCATTGATGGGCTTTGTGCCCCCGCTAGCATGGCTGTAGACTCTTAGAATAATTCATTTTAGTTCAGTTTCTTACAGGAACATTTTAGTTATTTACTGCTTATCGTGTATGTTACTCTGTACATAACTTTGCTATTCACTGGTGTCTGCACCTTTGGTTAGATGCTAAACTGCATTTTCCATGACAACAAAGTTGAATCTAATCTCATTTTTTAAGTAAATTAACTCTAGTACTGCACTTAGGTACACTTTTGTGTTGAATATTCTTTACTTGAGTATGAAGTTAAGTTAGTTCAGATTCAGATTTTACAATAAAAAACATGAAAAGATTCACATATGCGTAAATTGTATTTCCATTTCTAACTAAGAATGGGTTGTTCTGGTTTGATTACCTAATCTTTCTCTATCATCTTCCAACCTGAGCTTTACAGGCTCAGTTGTGCATCATGAATAAAGACTCAGCAGCTCATACAGGATGTTTTCTTGCACCCAAAACACACATCAGAGTAAAAAAAACAAGTGTTAATTTGCTATGCTAATGAACAGAAACTGCCTCTTTACGATGCAGGTGTCGACATCAACTGTGTCAATGTGTTGGAGTAATTTAATGTGTCAATGTGTTGGAGTCATTTACTGTGGATATGTGTGTGTTTACCGCAGTGTATGATTGTGATGTGTAGTTTTTGTTTTCTAAGATATTTCAGCCGGGGACATGGAGAGAGAGAAATCAGTGGTCCAGACGACGCACACACACAGAGGCTCCGCCCCCTCAGTCTTCCTCCAGAAACAGAATAATGAACCGGTTTCTAGTACCTACTTTGAACAAAAGGTCCCTGTTCCCGAGGAGGACAGCGAGGTAAATCCATGACAAGTACCAAAGGAATAAACCTGTAATCAATGACAAAGCAAAGAAAGACAAATCATTTTAGAGATTTAAAGAATGTTTTTGCTACATTTATAAGCAACCAGCAAGCAATTAAGTATGAACTGTTTGATGTCAGTGTTACAAAGGGGTATAACGTACATTTACTAAAGTACTGGATTAATTACAATTTGGGGTACTTCTGCAACACAATTGCAGTTTTATTCAAGCTTCAGTTACTACTACTATTACAGATGTATATCACACATTTTAATCATTACATAATTGGTCATGTTTTATATGTTAAACGTGGGGTAGGTAAGTTTGAGAAACCGGCTCGAGATACACTTTTTGTTATATTCCATGGAATGCTCTTAACATCCCGATAGCAATGAATATCTTAAGTGCTTTGACAAAAAATCCATAAAAAAATGTCATCTGTGGAAGCCGTAGTACTGTAAAAAGCACGACCAATCATTTTAGCCGGCCTGGCTAAAATAACTGGATGGCCTACCTGCCTGTCAGCCTTCCATTGGGGCACAAATTTATCTCGTGCCCTCATTGGTCATGTGCGCGGAGGAGGGGCTCTCTAAGGAAGTGGCAGATTTTCTCCGGTTGTGTATTTTCAAATTCTAGCGATCTCGAGCCGGTTTCTCAAACTTACCTACCCTACCTTTAAGATACATTTATTTAATATCTTAATGTAATTAAAAGCTAACCCTCAGTATTTATAGTCATTAAATAAGGCTCCTTAATTACCAGCTGCAACAGTTAAGTGATCAACACAATAATGCATTAGTAATTAACATCAATATAATAATATACATTTTTCTGCAATGGGCCCAGAATCAATACTTCTTGTTTTAATGCTTTTTCTGTGTTTTTATGCTACCACGTTTTTACCTTTACTTAACATTTTTAATGCAGGACTTTTGCCAGTAACATAATATTTCTACCCTGTAATTTGACTACTTTCCTTGAGTTAAGATTAGAGTGCTAACTTTATTTCTCTGTGTCCTGCAGAAGTGCTTCAGTTTCAGGAAGCTGTGGGCCTTCACGGGGCCGGGCTTCCTGATGAGCATCGCCTACCTGGACCCCGGGAACATCGAGTCGGACCTGCAGTCTGGAGCTAAAGCTGGCTTTAAGGTAACTAAAGCCAAGTTTAGAACACAATAACAGACACTTTGACTCAGTGTGGAGGATTACTGTCCATCAGTAACACTGTCTAGGCTCTATTGAGAGAAAAGCTTTTTAAATGTTAAGTTTTCGCTTTGTTTATTGGGTTTTCTTTCAACAGCATACAGTTATTATATCAGGGCATGTATCAAAAGTAGGCTAAACAAATATTCACTTTATAGAAAAATAGGTAGAGTAACAATGTAAATACTGCTTAAATCGTTTTTTTAAAAGTGTGAATCCATTAGGAATTTTAGGGAGATAGGAATTCTGATTCTTGCATTAATAAATGTTTCACTCACCACTCATTTCTATTGTCACACCCAATCACATAAGGTTATCAAATTCAGACCAGAAGTGACAAGGTACAAATAATATGTAATGTTGTAAGCCTGCTATTGCACAATGAATAATAGAATTGGGTTATGATTATGACTGTTTTAAGTTGTCTGTAACTGTGCTGCTGCCTGTCTTGGGCCAGGACTCTCTTGGAAAATACATCTAATCTCCAGGAGACCTATCCTGGTCAAATAAAGGTTAGACAGGCAGCTTCCCTCTCACTCTGTTGTTTTTGTTCTGTCAACACTCAGTCATATACAAGATAATACCATTGTCCTGAATGCCGGGTCACTTCCATTCCCTCTCAGGTTTGCCCGACATTAGAGAGCCTATCAATACTGCAGGTCAAAGTTTAACACAGGTGAACTTTGTCCTGCGAGAGCTGCTAACACATTCCTGAATTCATTAGTGAAAAGACCTTTTAATAAAGTGAATGAGAGGCGGAGTGAATATTCACAGAGAGTGACCGAGCCCTCCGCCTGACCCTAGGTCCAATGTTGGGTCATTCTTCTCCAGTTTCAGTTCACTTAAAGCTGCAAAATACTGACCAACAACTCCCTTTTTGTGTTTCTTAAATACTTAAAGGTGGGGTAGGTAAGTTTGAGAAACTGGCTCGAGATACACTTTTTGTTATATTCCATGGAATGCTCTTAACATCCCGATAGCAATGAATATCTTAAGTGCTTTGACAAAAAATCCATTAAAAAATTCATCTGTGGAAGCCGTAATACTGTAAAAAGTACGACCAATCATTTTAGCCGGCCCGGCTAAAGTAACTGGATGGCCTACCTGCCTGCCAGCCTTCCATCTGTGCACAAACTTATCTCGTGCCCTCATTGGTCATGTGTGCGTTCGTGTGTGTTGGAGGAAGGGCTCTGTAAGGAAGTGGCAGATTTTTTCCGGCTGTGTATTTTCAAATTTTAGCGCACTCGAGCTGGTTTCTCCAAAATTACCTACCCCACCTTTAAATGTCCCAACATTATTCGGATAAAATGCACAGAATTTTGGATGATTTAATTCACCAAAAGTGGTCACGTCTTAGTGTTTAAGACATAACAAAAACGACTTTATCAGACAATATCCTGTGTTTTAAGTAGGTATATAAGTATTATATTGATGTTTTATCATGATGATGCAACAATATAACACCACTTCCTTTCCAGTGTTTAGACTTCAGGAGCGTGTTGCAGAAGGGGAAGTGGATGCAGATGTTATGGCATCAACACATAGCTTAAAAGATGTAGTCGTTTCTTTAAATGACACATTGCCAAAAAAAATGTAACGTCTTCAATTGTAAATTACCCCATAGAAAGTTGCAGAAGTCAAATGTTGAAAAGAATGTGTTAAGAAATTATTGTACAAATTATGAAACATTGAGGTTTTACAAATACTTTTTAAAGTGTGGTTTTGGTGTTTGCAAATTAGTGTTTTCTAGTTTTTGTAGCAACTTAATGCTAATGTCAATAAAGAATCACCTGCAGTGTGCGACATGAACACGTCTTTCTTCACAGATCTCTTTTTCGCCCTATGTTCAGGTGGCAAATAGCTCAACAGCATTGACCATACTTCTATCAAACTTAACTATAGTGTTTAAAATGACCAATCACAGGTGGGGAATGGCAGGTATCTGAAATAACAGAAGTAAATGACTGGAAAACAAGAAAAATGTGCTATTAATATAATTCCTTGAATAAAGGTTAAATCCAATGTGCTAAATAACTTCCCAAACTTGACTTTTTTCAGGTTTACAAAGAAGATTTTACATCTACAAACTTATGAATTATTTCTATTGTCATTTCACAACTTCAATGACTGTATTGACTCTTGGTTAAGCTCATGAAGGCGTCACATTAACAGCTGTCCCCTCCTTTCAGCTCCTCTGGGTGCTGCTGGCGGCCACCATCATCGGCCTGCTGCTGCAGCGGCTCGGCGCTCGACTCGGCGTCGTCACGGGGATGCACCTGGCCGAGGTCTGCAACCGGCAGTACCGCACGGTGAGACATCGGCTGTTTGCATGAGATCTTCAGTGCCTTACCTTCTCCAAAAAAAAATGCACAGAAATGATCTTTCTTAGTTGGTTTAATGAAAAAGCCTGAATGAATGACCAGCTTTATTTTCAATCTATACAAACAACATTTATTGCATTTATGTTCTTCCTGGGAGTTATCTTCCCTTTGTCCCCATGGGGTTTCTATGGAGGTTTTTCCTCCTCTGCTGCAGGGCTGTAAGGACAGAGGGTGTCATGTGCTATACACACTGTAAAATACGATTACAGCTATAAATGATAGGTAAAAGATACAAACGCAGTCAATAGTATCTGAATATATCAAAGTATGCAAACAGAATGATTTGCAAAATCTGCAATATTCAGACCTTTATGGCCTTTGACTGCTTCCATTTTGCATTTCCTTCTTTTACAGTAATGTATATCTGAATTTCCATGATGGGTTATTTCCGTCTAAAAGTCATCTAAAACAAATTCTCACTAACCTGTTGTTAGCTTGAATACTGAATATCTGCTGACATTAACACCTCATGTCTCTCTCCTGTGCGTTGTGTCAGGTTCCTCGTATCATCCTGTGGTTGATGGTGGAGATCGCCATCATCGGCTCCGACATGCAGGAAGTCATCGGCTGCGCCATCGCTTTCAACCTCCTTTCCTCCGGCAGGTGACCTGAACACAACTTCTTTATATCCGTCACTGGGATGGCGCTGGAGAAGTATCGAGATCCTTTAGTACAAAATACGTTGTAAAAATATTCTCTGGTGCGAGTAAAAGTTCTAGATTTCAAATGTTAATGCTTGATAAGGTGGGGCAGTAGCACTCTTATCTATTGAGCTATTAACCTGTTAAGCACCAAGCCTGTTTTTCATGTTTCAGGCTTGAAAATGACATGCCCAAAACAAATGACTACAACCTAACTTCTAAAAGGGTTATATGAATAATTTCTTTTATCAAAGCAAGGTTACATCTGTGAGTTGGATGTAGAAGTGTCAGAATCAATATAGATGTTTTTTATTTTAAAGAAAATTCAGACTTTACATAGTAAAAAACTGTAAAATATAGTGTCCGTCCAAATATTCTTTTTTACTTATAGTGAAAACTACCCTTGGATGATGGGTTAGTAGACTAAAAGCTTTAGGAATCCAAAGTACAACATATAATAAGTACCCTGTATCAAGATTGATGCAAAACAAGTGACATTTGACCTTTTTAGAGAGGTTTAGCCAAAACCACCCCACCTCTGAGGTGATTTGGGTGAAAATGTTTTTTCTTCCATATCTCTGGCCCCCCTTGGTCGATTTGGATGGTTGACACCTCTTTCTGACCGTTAGAGCCAATAGAATCGAAGGGGGAGGCCCCCACACACACACGTTGTGAAAACAAACGGTGGGGGCTTTGCGCATGTAATTTTGCAGCAGAGTGGACCGATCTCTCGCTCTGGCATTTGGAAATGAAAAAGCAGTTTTATTGCTTATGGATTATCAGAAATCATTTCAAAGAGGACACAGACACATTGGATTAACCTATGAATTAACTGCAGTATCGTTTTTATCGTTTTAATGCCATTGAAGACCAGTTTTGACCAAGGTAAGCCATGTTAGCGTTTCTAGCTACCTAGCTCCACATGTTATGATGTACCCTTTCGTTTATAGCGTCGCAAATGTTTATCACTGAGTATTGAGGTGGGCACCCCCAGATTCTGTGTCTCCAGGAGATGCAAAACGTTGGGTTGGCTGTGCATCTAGGATAAGTAATAAGGGAGTTATGAGTGAGTTTAGGTGCAGTTTTAGGTTACATTTTTTCGCTCGTGGCTAATTCAGAGGCTGAGTGTTAGCATTGTGGGATTTTTTTGAAAGAAAAAATTAAAAATATCAGTTAGCTGAGTTTCTTCCCGTTACATGGATATAAAACATTCATAGTTTATTAAATATTAAGATTCCTTAGACGTTGTTTCCTGCAAATGACGCGTTTATCCGCCCGGTACCGGGGGGGGGCGGTGCGTAACAGGTTAATGGCGTTTCTAACTTAAAACGGCAGTAAAGTCTTGTTTTAAAATGTGAATAACTCCATTTCTACATGATTTTGTGATTGAAATATTTGCAAATGGAAACCATGGAAATCAATAACTTTTAAATTAGAAAATAAAAAATTGTAAAGTTACCAATTATCCTAACTAATTGATAAATCAACTACTCGTTTCAGCTGCTTAAACTTTTTATTTATAAAAAGAAAAATACATCAATGTTATCGTATATTTTTTGTATGCAAACGTCATCATTTATAAAGTAATTCAAGTTAAGATAAATCTGGTGAAGGTAAAAGTATAATGTTTACCTCTGAGATGTAGAGAAATGTATTTTCAACTTTCCAAAAAATGTTACAATACTTAGTAAATTAACTTTGTTACATAACTTCACTGTTTAAAACATGCTTCTACATGGCTTTTTCCTGTGTGTTTGTCCACCTTTAGGATCCCGTTGTGGGGAGGTGTTCTCATCACCATCATCGACACGTTCGTCTTCCTCTTCTTGGACAAATACGGTTTGTTGTGCTCGTGCTCTCACGGTAAAATATGTTGCTAAAACAAGAATGAATTAAAACCTCCTCATTTCTGTCCGTGCAGGCCTCAGGAAGCTGGAGGCCTTTTTCGGTTTGCTCATCACCGTCATGGCCATCACCTTCGGATATGAGGTAAAAACATTTACATATCTGCAGACAAGACTGAATAAAACGAATTCTTTATCACGCTTCTCCTTTCCCTACATCAACATTTATTTGCCTGTCAGTCAGGTTGTTATATAACATCCAACCTAATAATTCTGAGGCCTTTCACCAATATTGAATGATACAAACCGGCTCAAGAACAGTAAGAACAACTAGATTTAATAGAAAGTAAAAAAGTTCTTACTTGCACTGCCAGGCTGTGGCTTATAATATACTTATCCCCTTCATTAAAATCCCCAAAAGTACAACCACAGATAATAAATGGCAGGGTCAAGGCACCTACATTTCACATGTGAAAACAAGTAAAGCATAGTGTCAGTACTTATCTTAGGGTTGTGGCTATTTGCCCTCAGAAAGTTGAAATACGGCACAAACAAACAATAAAATATGATTTCAAGTATAGAAAATAAAAAAGGTGTCTTGCTTTGACTACCCAACTAAGCAATCTAACAAATCTGATATTGTTACAGCCCTGATAATAGATTCAAATTCTCTTTCTTTTTTGTAATCTCTGCCTTTTTTCTTGCTTTTTTAAATCTAAGCTCACAGCCAATTTATATTATGCTGCCAATAGTCACATTTAGTTTTGTTGATTGAAGTGATTTAGTTTTTGCTTTTACTCTGCATAATATATATCTAGTATGTGGTTCTGTGAGGCTGTGAAAATGCTTTAGAATATATATTTCTGTTTTTGGGAATTGAGGAGATCTTTGCTCGATGTCCGATGTTTTTAAACTGGGCTTACATCAGATTTGAGATGGCTCTGTTAAAGTGTAATCCTGTTTGCCTTTTTGACATATCTGAGCGGCCTTTCTGCTTTCATTCTGTAGTCAAATCTGGCCTAATTTTGTGACTCCTTCTCAGTTTAAACATCTTCCATCATCAAATTAAAGAACAATCGCAAACTGCTACATAGTCACCATTAAAATCAAAATAGAAATGTGTTTGAAGCTGATGTACTTTCAGGATTATGCTGCTCTGAATTTGTTTCTTTATGGTTGATTGTAATTTGCATCTCATAAACATCGGCCCATGCCTCTCTCTCTCTCTCTCTCTCTCTCTCTCTCTCTCTCTCTCTCTCTCTCTCTCTCTCTCTCTCTCTCCTCTCTCTCTCTCTCTCTCTCTCTCTCTCTCTCTCTCTCTCTCTCTCTCTCTCTCTCTCAGTATGTGACGGTGGGTCCGGATCAGGGCCAGCTGCTGAAGGGGATGTTCGTGCCGGGCTGCAAGGGCTGCGGCCCGGTTCAGATGACTCAGGCCGTCGGCATCGTGGGGGCCGTCATCATGCCTCACAACATATACCTCCACTCCGCTCTGGTCAAGGTGAGATCAAATGCTTGTTAAATCAGGGCAGCTGTAGCTCAGGTGGAGCAGTCGTCCACCAATCGGAAGGTCGGTGGTATAATCCCCAGCTTCTGCAGTCAAAATGCGAACATGTCAAAGTGTCCTTGCGCACAAAACTGAACCCCAGGTATCTCCGGAGGGCCAGCAGTGTGTGAATGTTAATCATTTCTAACAAGCAGGTGGCACATTGTATGAATCCCTCTGTCACAAGTGTGTGGGAGAGAAACTCACTCTGGAGGGAGCTTTGGGATTTTGGCCTTTGCAGACCATTTACATGCACAAAAACCTATATAACACACAACAGGGAAGGGAACACCCCAAAGAGCTTAATAGGGCCTCTTTAAATAATTCATTCACACAGAGGCAGAAGCTTTAATATAAAATGCCACCTGCTCAGGGAAGCTAACATTCACACACTTTCACACATCGGCAATTTGGGGTTCATTTTCTTGCCAAAGGACACATCAAAAGTGGGATCATCCAGTTGGAGGTCGACCATCTACCTCCTGTGCCATAGCTGACTAAACAACAACGTTTAATAGTGTTTGTAAATGTGTGTGTGAATGTTGACATCGGTCACTGACAACAAGGCCTTGATTTGTCGCAAAGAAAAGTGGTATATTAATTCAGTTAAATCTTCATTTTTTAATTCTCCTGTGTAAATCATTAAGTGTCCAAATGTCCTCTCAGTCTCGAGACGTGGATCGGTCGAACAAGAAAGAAGTAAAGGAGGCCAACAAATACTACTTCATAGAGTCGACCGTGGCGCTCTTCATCTCCTTCCTCATCAACGTGTTTGTGGTGGCTGTGTTCGCCGAGGCTTTCTATGAGCGAACAAACGAAGAAGTGGTGAGTATCTCTGCAGCTGCTCTTATAATGTAATAAGAGGGAATCTTAAGGAAATATTTGTATATGTGTATCTATGTATGTTGGCTACAGATGTGTGTTTTTTATTTATTCCAGTACAACGTCTGCAATCAAACGGGAAGTCCTAACTCACATATCTTCCCTCTGAACAATGAGACTCTGGAGGTGAACCTCTACAAAGGGGTAAGTTCAAGTTGGGTTGATTGATCGTTATCAACTTAATGAATTTAAATTCCAGCTATTAAGAGTTGTTCATGCATGATACATCTTGAAATGTACAAGCTACCCAGCAGATAATGCATATGAAACAAAACTAGCTCCACCTTCACCAGCTGCAACATAATAGTCACGTACATATAGATGCACCAATATTTAAAATACTATTAAAGGTCACCTATCATGCTATTTTTAGGCAATAGCATAGGTCTCAGATATATCAAAAAAATATAAAAAACATGTCTATGAAGTGTTTTGGTCAACAAAAAAAAACAGATCACCCATTCTAGCCATGCCTCATATCTATGGGCTCAGAACAGTCTCATAATACACACATGCACACAGAAAGATTTACACTTGTATTTCATGACCCGCAAAAGGAGTCACACTTGTATTTCCGGATCCACACTTGGAGCAACACTTATAGACACATACTGTATGTAGAAGTGTTATTTCAAACAACACATTAAGTTGACGAAACACTTGAGTCAAATGTAATTAAAGTCAGATCCACTCATGTCTTAGACGGGGCAGTGATATCATAAACCTGTTCATGTACGCATTCAAACACTCGGTCGTTTTTTCTTTACCAGCTGTTCTGTATTCACCTTGCAGGTGCAGCTATGTTGCTTTTATCCTGGTTTAAGTGTTTAAGTCATGGATGTTTAAAGTTTAACTTCTTCATATTTGTCTATTATAGTTTACTTTTCATTCATGAAGTATGACGCTGCGCTGTCAGTACGCTTGTCCATGTTTGTGATTGGTCAACTGTTGCTCACCCCGTCCCTTTCACGTGAACGCGCTCTCGGCCGGACAGAGAAACCCTGGGTTGATTTACCGAGTTGATAACCAGCGTCGTAGGCATACTTGCCAACCCTCCCAATTTTCCCGGGAGACTCCCGATTTCATTGCCCTCTCCCGGTTTCCTCACGGGGTCATATTTCTCCCGCATTTCTGACAAAATCAGATTTACTCACAAATGTTTCCACTCTGACTTTAATACAGGTACACCATTGTTTGGTTAACATGGTAGCGCGTCTCTTTGGTAGCGCGTCTCTTTAGTAGCGCGCAACTGAAAGTCTGAGAGGGTGTTCAGCATGGTGAGGAAGATAGTCACAGAAAACAGAACAAGAATGGACAACTCTACCCTCTGCTCACTCCTTTCCTGTAGCCCACACATATGCTCCATCAATGATGGTGCTACAGGCAGCAAGGCATTGCACTTACAACTACAATAAGCATCTGTAGATGTTCTTTTCATCTTTAAAAGTCTGTTTCCCCGCTGCGAGGCTCCTGCGCTAACAGTTCTAACAGCTTGAAATGCTCCCAATTTCTGAGGTCTCAAGGTTGGCAAGTATGGTCGTAGGACCGCTTAGCGGGATCTCGCTTGTTAGGGTTAGTTAAGCCAGATAACTCAGAGATATCCAGGGTCTACAACTGGCTTCGTAGTACAGGCCACTGACCGATCAGGCTAAGCTAACCTGTAGCTGCTCCCTCCACACTCACAACAACTTCATACAGACATAAATAAAGCAGCTGTATTCGCCATACAGGAAACACACATTTAAAACGGTTTTGCCTGCCGTTTTTGTGTACACAACAATTCATTAATGGTTCGGAAAGTGGCGCTGTACCTTAATAATATAAAAGATTGTATTTGCGTGCATTTCCTGTTCGGAAAGTGGCAATGTACTGAGGGTGTTTCTCAATGTCGAGGAGGCTTGCTTGGTAGCACATGTACCTCCGAGTGAGTTCCTTTAGAAGCGAGGCAAGAATCCTTCCTTTCATTCGGAGAACGAAGAATGGGACAGGCTAGCAAGTGTGCAGGTGTGCGTCATATGAGAGGCCCCGCTTTACATTTTCCGCCAAAGATTTTGGAAATTGGTCCGTGCGCAAAGCATTGTGGGGATTTTAAGACCGCGGAGTCTACACATGTGCAGCCTCGAAATTTCCCGCAACGAAGTACGCCGGCCTCGGTAGAATTCCAAGTATCCTGGACATTGGAACAGTCCTTCGGCGGCACTCGATGACGTAGTATCCTTGAAATAGTGGCTCTGGAGCAGCTTTCCTCGACATTGAGAAACACCCACTGGTGCATCCTCGAAATTTCCCGCAACGAAGGATTCAGTCCTCGGAAGAATTCCGAGGATCCTGGACATTGGAACAGTCCATCGGCGGGATTCGATGACGTAGCATCCTTGAAATAGTGGCTCTGCAGGAGCCTTCCTCGACATTGAGAAACACCCTGAGAGTGGAGGTGTCCTGAGATTAGCGCCTTTCATGTATATGAAACGGAACACATTTGTGTGTGCATTGAAAAACACAAGTGTGGATCCGGAAATACAAGTGTGACTCCTTTTGAGGGTCATGAAATACAAGTGTGAATCCTTCTGTGTGCATGTGTGTATTATGAGACTGTTCTGAGCCCATACATATCCCTCTATTTCTCTTCCTGTTACACAAGTGCTGATTCTGGTATAAACAGGTCTCTCTTGAGAATGAGACTCTGTGTCTCAATGAGATTTTCACCTGTATAAATAAAAGCTAAATAAAAAAACTTTTTTTTAACTGAAAATAAATAAATAAGAGGGGGCGGAGCTTATGCCGGCTCATGCGGGACCTGGTAGATACTGTCTAAAATGCTGCGGTGATGAAACGCAAGGATTATTATTATTATTAGATCAAGGATTATTAGATCAAGGATTATTAGATCAAGGATTATTAGATCAAGGGTTATTTCTGAAACAGTATGGAGCTCAAAGGCTTTCTCTCTTGCCGGTTATACCACAAGGTGAGTTCCTTTTTATGTCCTGCTTCTTCACACACATGCTCTCCAGTACACGTTAGCTCTGAGTGTTAGCGATGCTAATGTAAACACCGACCATATTATGTCCAAAACAGTCGGGCATTGTTTCTGATAGCAACGTTTCTGATAGTTCTGTGGGTCCGCTGCCGATTTGACGTCATATCGGCCGCAAATCTGGATCAGCTCCGTTGTACCCCCGTTTTTAGAGATTTGGCTACGGAGGAAAAGAGAGAGGGTTTTATTTTCTGATGCTGCGTGAGTTCCCTGACACACCGGGGACACATATCTATGTATAAAATACAACAAAAAGTGCATTTTGCATGATAGGTCCCCTTTAAATCATATATTACTCTGAAATGAATGCGTTTTTTTACTAGGTAGAGCTCCTGCCCAAACTATGAGCTAAAAGGTGCCTAAATGTTGTGGATGACATTATACAGAAATCATGTTCTCCCTCTCTTGTGTTTTATTAAAGCACTGTGAGAGTTAGCTTGTTTTCAACTCTCTGCTTTTGTGTTTTTCAGGGAGTGGTGCTCGGCTGTTTCTTTGGCCCGGCGGCGTTCTACATCTGGGCCGTGGGGATCCTCGCAGCTGGTCAGAGCTCCACCATGACGGGAACGTACTCCGGACAGTTTGTCATGGAGGTCAGTGAAGGGCAGAGGAATCAGGCGTGCACAAAAACACACACATGTAGCACAACATGTCCGCCCTGTCTTCTACCTCATGTTTTTTATATTTGTATGCTTTAGTTGAGGCATGGCTTTTGAAGTTTTACATCAAAAACAGGTATAATTAGTTTAAAGCGGCTATACTATGCTCATTTTAATTTTCAGGTTCATGTTAGTTAGTGTCTCTACTGTGACATGTCTCCATGCTTTAATGTTCAGAAAGCACTTCATTTTTCTCATACTGCCTGTGCTGCAGCACCTCTTTTCACCCTCTGTCTGAAACCAGAGCCCAGTCTGCTCTGATTGGTTAGCTGGCCGGCTCTGCTGTGATTGGTCAACTGCTAAGAGATGTCCTCCCACTTAGCTTATATGGTATAATGTGTTTGAGTGCTAGCCAATATAAGTGCAAGTGTTAGATAGTGATGTGACTATGTCCCAGAAATAATCAAAGGAATCCAATCGAGGTGTTTCAGGCAGGGGGGGGGGGGGGAGGAGTGTGAGGGATAGAAACTCTCTTTGCAGACCATTAACATGCACAAAACCCGATATAACACACTACAGGAGGTAAAACCTCAAAAAGCATGATAGGGCCTCATTACAGGATAGTGATGTGCATACTGCTTCCAGCTGTGTTTTCTTGTAAATGTCACTGACTGATGTGTTTTCTGCCTTTCAGGGTTTCTTGAACCTGCGCTGGTCGCGTTTCGCTCGGGTGTTTTTGACCCGCTCCATCGCCATCACCCCCACCCTGCTGGTGGCCATCTTCCAGGACGTGCAGCACCTGACGGGCATGAACAACTTCCTCAACGTGCTGCAGAGCATGCAGGTAAGAGAGGGGGGGGGGGGGGGGACTGTTCAGTGGGAGCTTCAACATCTGTCCACCTCTTCTGCTTTATCTTTCAAGTATCTTTCCTTTTAGATCATATGCTGATTTCATAGCACTTTATCTGTGAAGTGCTTTTCAATGATTCTGATAACCGGCAATACACAAAATAAGGACATTAGTATGATTAAAATATACCTGCAAGTAGAGTTTCATACAAGCTACATTTTATCGAATTTAATAACACTCTGTTCAATACTACAAAAAACCATTGGAGAAGGTAGTGGTAATAGAAAGCAGTTAATTAAATACCAAAATAATTAGATGTTATACAAATTGAGTAAGAAAAATATCTGTTATAAATCTAAAATATAACTATCTTGTGTTTAATTAAATTAATTGTTGCTGTTGATGAAATGATTTGTGACGTTTTGTTTACTATCAGTTCTGTGTTTTTTTCCCTCGCTTTAGATTTTAAATCTGATATGTTTGAATAATACCTGGCAAGTGTTATTTCATACATCATGACCACTGTTGTAGTTGTCAGCGTGATGGATATACACTTATAATACTGCCTTGTTTTAAGACTTGCATCCAGAGATGAGTTAATAAATAAATGCCTTAAGATCATACCTATAGTACAATCTGACGAGGGACATGTATGTATTGACTGTTTCTGTAGTTTTAAGTATTTTAAGTTAATATAACCAGCTTTAAGAGATTGGAAAATGATGCTGTTTGATTATCATTCACTCAATAAGTTAATAGAGTAAACACTGTGTACATCAGGTTGTCAATAGTTATCGAAATGTTATTAAGGGTCTTTGAAAAAGTCATGGAAAACTTAAAAATAACACATTTTTATTCTTCTCTCACAGCTGCCATTCGCTCTCATCCCCATCCTCACTTTCACCAGCCTGCCATCTCTCATGAACGAGTTTGCCAATGGATTGTACGTTCATCCGCATCTTAAACACATCAAATAAAATTATATTAGTTGCTCATTTAAACACACTTGTTCTCTCTTTCCTGCAGAGTGTATAAGATCGGGGGAGGCCTGGTGATCCTGGTGGTCTGTGCCATCAACGCGTACTTCGTGGTGGTCTACGTGACGGAGCTGAACAGTGTGTGGCTGTATGTGCTGGCTGCGTTCCTCTCCATAGCATACCTGACATTTGTGGGATATTTGGTAGGTAACACAAGAGCAGCGGATCTAAGCTGAGCCTTTGAGAAACCTGAAACTGGTTCCAGTAGCCAAATATTCCACAGGAAGTAATGTCGGAAAGAATAGTCAGAAAAACTGAGAATGGTGTATTAACACAATTTAATGCTGTCGATTTGACCTGCTAGTTATTACTATCTAAGTATTATTACTGCTATTATTAATGTAACTTATTCTTGAAATTAGATCAAATACATTTGGCAAATCTGAAAAGCCATTCTCACTCCAGGTGGTTTCAAGATTATTGAAATGTTCATGTAAAACTAGACCAGAATGTTTAACGCCATGAAAGTAGTATTAGTAGTAAACACTGTATTTTTTCATGGCGAGTAGGATAGAAAATGGACGTACAGCCTAAACCATTAGTCAATTAGTTAAGTTATTTATCCGTAACATTTGGTTCAGCAAAAACTGATTAGGAGAAACAAAACTTAAGACCGTGTTCTGACATTTTATGAAACGAACAATTAATTGCGAAAACAAAAAGCGTATAAGTCTATGATAAGTGGAGGCGTGTGGCACAGTGGGTTAGTGCGTTAGTGTTCGGATCAGGGGGGCACAGGTTCAAACCCCACTGCAGTCAGCATGTCGTTGTGTCCCTGAGACACTTCACCCCAAATTGCTCCTGTGGGGATTGTCCACAGTATTGAGTATGTAAGTCGCTTTGGATAGAAGCGTCTAACAAGTGACATATAATGTAATGTATGATAAGAAAGAATCATTGTGACTTTTAGCACTCTTTATGTGCACATATATATGATCTTGTGAATGAGCTGTATAAACATATATATTTTTGTATTATTTATCATTATTGTATATAGGTTTAATGTAATGCTATAGCCTCTTTACTGATATTGAATATAACTAGGAAAATAAGGTAAATACAGTTCTAAAGAAAAGGAAATATTGTCTTCTTTTTCTTCTACGTCTTTTCCTTAGTTAACCTTCATAGCTGTATCTTCTATATCATCTATACTAAATACCTGATCTTTATCTGATTGATAGACTGATAATAATCTGATAATCTGTGTGTGCTGCAGGTGTGGTTGTGTCTGATCGCTCTGGGAGTTTCCTGCCTGGATCCGAGCACCAGGAGAGGGAACGACACGGGGACCCTGATGGAGACGCAGCCGGAGTTCGACTCCTGAATCACATGAGGACTTTATCTAAAAGGTGCAGCTGTGAGCAACCACACTGACATTTGACTGCTTTCTCTTCCAAAACATTTAGTCTTCTTAAGTGTTTGTTTATTTATAATAGGACTACAGAAATGTATTTTTTATTGGAATACATATTTCATTTCATATGAAGTATTCGTAGATCTTTAGTCAAATCTCCGTTAATGATTCTTTAAGGCAATTAAGATTATCTTTGCTAAATGATCAGCTCTAGGTGTGTGAAAGCAGGTTTATTGTAACGGCAGTTAAGATTACAGTTAAATGTAAACCTGATAGTTAATTAAAACTACTTTGGGGTCGGGGTAAAGCAAGTAACGCAATACCTCACCTCACTGTCTCGTATGATATCACTTCACCACTCTGCAGGCTTAGTGGCGTCCCTTAATATCGCTCCCTAAACATCTAAATGAAAGAACAAAATAAAGTGTTTATATGAAGATATGATAAATAAATGTATGTAAATTATCCAAATTGAGAAAAGAGAAAGCATAAAGTAATGCATGAAATAAATCCTGATGTTTCTTTAAACAATATGTCTTAAGAAAATGTTGAATTGTTCCCTTAAACAAAACATAGCAAACACAAACAGCGTCAGGCATTAACGTACTTCTTTATTTGATTAGCACAAAGCTCATATTGAAAATCAGTGTGAGAAATGAAAGATGGAAACATGCTAAAGACAGCAAAAATGCTTATTTACATCGATTGTCCTTAGGTAGGTAAAAAAAACAGAAACATATAAAGTGAAAATATAAATACACGTACATAATACACAAGTAGGTGGATCACAGTTGTGGGTTTTCCTTAAGCTATTGTTTAAGGTAATTTGACCATACAATATTTAAACAAAAAACATTTCAGATTTTGTGCAAGTTCAATTAAATACGTTTAAAGTCCTTTTGAATACCACCTCAACGGCCATCTTTTTATTCAGTACTTCCCAGCATTATACAAATTAAGTTCCTGATGATAAAGTTAATTATAGTCATTTGAACCCGATTCAGAAAAGCAATACAAAAATAAGATAAGATAAGAAGTATTTTATTGACCCCAATTTGGGAAATGTTTGAATTTCCCAAATAGCTTCCTTCCGCACAATCTACTGTTGCAAAAATTCCACTTTTAGTTTATTTGTATTTAAGTTTAGCAACACAAGCAGGCACGCATTAAAAGGCTCTTAAAATGTAAAGTGAATTGCCCTCTGAGGCCTTTGTTAGAGGAAGCCAAAATCAATGTTTTGTAAAATGCAATTTCTCTTTTGGCCACAGGGAGGCAGTGCAGTCCCTCCTCAGATCCTGTACATGCCTCCCCACCAGAGCTGAACAACATAACACATTTAATGACACGGTGTGTTACATCACACTTCATGTTGTTATGGCTGCATAGAAACAGCAGGATTCTATCAAAGGAAATCAGATAAATCCAATAAAATGAGTGTCAGTGACTGGCTGTAACACTGCTGTACATTCAGATGTGTTTGAGATGCCTGTGGTGAGGATGGTATGTCTGAAGAGTTGCAACTATTGTGTAACTACAAGCCAATAGCTTCAGTGTCAAGCTGGTTTCAGTGTTACTTGAATTCCTGTCCTGAAGTGCTTCGACATTTTCAAGCCAAGGAGAGGCGGACGGACAGGTTTTTCTTTTGCATTGTGGCGGGGAACTTTTTTTTTCCTGTAATGGAGGCAGAGTTATGTAAGGGAGTCTTCCCACCGCCCCTCTGTGTTTTTGTTTTTCTCAATGAGCCAAATGTCTCCCTGCCGAGGCCTCACAGCCTGTCCAGTAGGCCCCTTTCCTGGAAACATAGCCTAGCAGAGGCCACTCAGGGGCAGGCCCGCGAGGTGGGAGGAGGGGAGGGAGGGCTCTTCCAGCAAATCACATGGTTTTAGCCCCTACAGTCCCAGCCCTACATGAGGCTCAGATGCTGCAAGCACATTTCAACAGCTAGTTGTCATCAACGTGATTGGATGTAGCTAATGCATGGCAGAGTGCATGAGGCTGTAAGTAGACGCCGTGGATTCCCAGGTGTGAAGTGTAGAAATAGAACCACAATGCCTGATGTGTGTGTTTGTGTGTTTGTTTGTGTGTTGAAGGTTAATGTGAGGTTTTTTTCATGTTTGTTGCCATACATCACAGATGTATCCATGCTGTATAAATTGAACGGGTTGTACAGAATATTTTCTCATTAAGATTAAAAGATTGAAATGATGTATTTTATCAGTATTTTATTTGTACATTTGCTTATAGTTGTTGACAGTGTTTAGTCGCTGATTTATCTTGCAGAAAGGACATCCTTGCTGCATTCGTTTTAGCAGAAAGCCCCATGTCGTTTTATTGCTGCAGCTAGCAGCACGGACTGATTTAATGGGTTGCAATTATAAAAGATCATTAAATGCGCTATTGAATTGTAAACAAGCAGGTCCCACTGAACACACACAATAAACCACAACATGGAAATACAGGACTTGTATATCAGGGTTGTTAATAAATGAATGTATTCATATATTTTCCTTCCAATCATGATGAATTTCAGGTTTTAACGTGCCACACTTGTTTCATTTTTTCTTCCATCTTGGGTTTTCACCTTTACATCAGTTCTCATAACTGATGAGAGATAGATGTAGCTTTAACTTGTACCTGATGTTTGACGACACATGTTTTTACGTGGTTTTCACCTTTAACACTCAGCGCAGGGCGTAAAAACACCAGCTGACCCCCTGTTCTTCTCTTCTCCTCAGAGGTATGCAACGTTACAAGAAGAAGATGGCACCAGAAATCAGGCACAGATAATGCATTTCAAATTGATTCAGTAAAAAGTGGCATCAGCAGAAGACCGCATGACATTTTCCAGCTCTGCGGACCATACTTATTTTGTATATATTTTTACATAGATCTGTCAGTGCTGCCTCAAAATGTCCGACACCAGGAATGCAAACAGCGGGGCCATTCCTGTTTATGTCTTGCATTGTGGCCTCTGTGGGCCTGGCAGAGCTTAATGGGCCCACATGTGTTTGGAAAGGCTACACTGACTATTTCAACTCTACTTATTCCTTTATTTACAACTTTATTTAAGTGTTTCTTTGTGTTTTCATGACCTAAATGCCTTATTGATGAATGTTTTATGATCTGCTGTTGCTAAACTCCTCATCAGTTGCTCAGGTGGAGAAAGTACTTGGATCCTTTACGTCAGGAAAAGTAGAAATGGGCCTAAAATACTCCATTACAAGTTAAAATCCAGAATACAAGATGTTACTTTAGTAAGTAAATGAAAAATAATGTTATCAGCTAAATTAATGTGACGTATCAAAAGTAGATTAATATATTTGTGTAGAATATTATATCATGTTTTAACCCTAACAAATGCATGTCAAAACATTTTAATATTGTAGTTTATTAATGTGGAGCTTATTTTAGATGATCATAACAGTACTGCATCCATGTATATCAGCCATGCACATATTATAAAATGCAGTGCAATACTACAAATATATATATAGGATTATTTATGTGCAAAGAGTAACCGTATTTATGTACAAATGTAACTACTATTTTGAGTGAAATACATGAAGTGTATTAAAAAGTACAATATTTACCTCTGAAATGTAGTGGAGTAGAAATATAAGGTAGCATAAATGGACAAATAAAGCACCATAATGTCAAAATAATACTAAAGTATGGCACTTGAGTAAATGTACTTGGTTACATTCCACCAATGCTCACAATGCATCAGATTTAATCAGGTTTTAGAGGATAAGGAGGCGCTGCGTGCTGTAAATAAAAAAATATATCCGGGGACCAACTGGTCGACCACATTGCCAAACATGATGTCAAACCCACTTCCATTATTTGAACACGGTAAAACAAATGTGTTTTAGGTTTTCCCACCGTTCAGGGAATCACTTTACAAAAACAAAGTGAAAAGTGATTCCAGCTGATTACAACTTATTTTCATAAATAAACAGCAAGTATTCTTTTTTTTTTTATTAACAACAGCGTTGTGTGAGACTTGTTTGTATTTTAACATGATGCAACTATTGTGTAATGCGTATGTTCCTTAAGTCTGTTGTTGCACATGAGAGTGATTGACACAACGCAGTGGATCCCAGAGAAAAACTCCTTCAGCAGTTTTCAGACAAAAACTATTTCATTTTTTATTTATTTTTTCTAATACAAATAAGCTCCTGCCTACTATCTAAAAATATTTGTCAGCGACGTTTCAGTGGTAGATCTTAATCAGGCAAAACTGTGCCAGTAAAAGGAAGTCAAATGAAAGAGAAAATGAAAGGAGTCTGGGTCAGTGGTTTCACTCTGCCCTCTGTTACCCCCACAGAGAGACAGAGTTAGCATGTACTGTAGTTCTGCATGGAGTTACAATAACCACCAACTCGACTCCTGATGAGGAGATGCTTTTCACTGCAGACCGAGGAGGTCTTTCCGATTAATCTAAACTGGAAACATCTGCTAGGCTGTTGCATGCATCAAGTTCTTTATTCACAACAGAAGCAAGCTCCCTGAACAAGGCTAATTAAATATCTATGAAAAAGAAGATCACGTAAGTACTAAATCCTGCCTGGCACATATTGTATGTTTAGTGTTTTTGACTGAATATAGACTTTCATTTAATAAGCCTGAACCCTGTTCACCCCTGTTTGGCTGCCATGCTAACCAGATGTTGTGATCAGCAACCCCACTGTAGTGTTAACCATAATTAGCTACTTCTGGACAATAATTAAAGTATTAAACACAACAGGTAAAGATAATGCATTTTTTTGGGAGATAACTGCATTTTTTCTGTTTTATAAATTATGTTATCTCCAACTCCTGGAGGAACAAATGCATGCTACAAACAATAATTTAATATATTTGTAGAAAAGGAAATGCTAAAAAAATAACGAAAACTAAACTTTTTTAAATTATAATAATTGGGGACAAAAATGTAAGATGGTAACATATAAGTAGTATATATATCATATTGAAAGTTGAATACTTAATTAAAATAATTACTTTTTGTTTATAGGCCTAAACGTTTTTTGAAATGCTATGTTTAAATATGCAAATTAGGCATAATCTAATAATAACTTTAGGCGACTTCAGGAGAAATATTCGAGAGCAAATAGACAAAGTGAGAAAAATAAACACCTACATCTGTTTGCCGGACGTTTTCCTGTCACGATACTCTTAAAGTAGGAATATGTTGTGGAAGAAAAATTAGCCCAAAAATCTAAAAATTAAACAATGCAAAATAAGACAATGTTTTTTCGTGTAGTGTCTCACCTTAGGAGAAGGAACTGTCTTATTGTATGTGTAAATAAGTATTTGCAAAAATTACTATTATTTTTAAAAATAATTTACAAACAATGTGATCTCGAGCAGCGCTGGAATGTGTTCGGTGCGGCGCGTGCAGGACAGGGAGGAATGCCTTAGCCACGCCCCTCTTCGCCGGGGCGTCCAATCAGAGAGCGGAGACGGTTTCAAGGCGCCCTTAGAGTCCCAACCGTAGAAAAACAAAGCCCCGGATAACAACAAAACTCATATTTTACATCTAACTGCACACTGAAATCCTTTTAAATGCATCGAAATCGACCGTAGAGATCGATTCTCGGTGTTTTTCGTCGCTCTTTAAGGCCTTTCGGGCGATGTTGTTTATCTGTAGTAAAGGGTGGCTTGAAACCGCCCCACCTTGCCCCATTTCCTCGGTTGTTTTCCTCCTCTCGCCTGGATTCTCCATGTTGTTGCTGCAAGAGTACGGACTTCGCAGCGTCGCGCTAGAGTGAGCTGCTCGGCGATTTTTACCCGTAATAGTAATGGTAAACCCGAGACGACGGAGCTGACAGAGTCTCAAATAGCCTCCCCTAAAAAAAACATATCCAAGTGCCTTTGCCCCCCTTTTCCCCGGGCGGCGGACCTCCGAGAGACGAAGAATAAGAAGAAGGAGAAGAAGCGGCGGCGTTGGGAATAAAGAAACCCACGAACAAGACAAATCCTGAGGCGGAGGACACGTTACCTCGGTGAATAATTGAGTTTACTTGTCAATAAAACCCAATGAGGGATGCCCATCAGTGCTCGGGGACAGGATTTGAGGATTTTGAGGGCTCCGTGATTGTCAGATGGAAAGTTCTGTTATCACCCAAGTGCAGAAAGAAGACGTGCAAGTGTCACCGAAAACAGGTGAGATGGGCCTGTGTTTTTATGTGCTTTTGAAGTGTTATTATATCTGCTTGATTTGGTGCTGTATTGAATGTTAATCGGTGTGTATATGTAGTGCGCCCATTTGACAGTTGAGATCTGCGGAGCGCGGTCAAAGAGGCGCATTGCCCCCTTTTTTTTCCTTTTTTTTTTTTTTTTACATTTGCCAAACACATCTGTCATATTTAAATCTTATCACAAAAAACCCACATTCACTGAATCTGAAATAATCCAAATGTGTTTTTTTACTAATACTATTGTGCCTACAAGCTGTTTTTCTTCACCTGCACGTAAACAAGTGGGGTTTGAATAAAAAGGACATCCTTTCTTTTTTTACATTTGTCAAACACTTCTGTCATATTTCAATTTAATCCATATAAAAACCCACATCCACTGAATTTGAAATAATCCTACATTGTTAATTACTAATATGTTTTTACCCAGTATAGCTGTTTTTCTTCACTTGCACATCATAAAGTGGTGTTAGAATAAAAAAACGTGGGATTATTGCGTAGCTTTACCACAGTTTAGTTCTCCTTTCCTATTGAGAATAGGTTCACAGTCTCCATTTCGCACTGGGTTTGCCATTCAGATCTTAGCAATTCTGTTTTTATCTATTGTTATGTGTAAATCTTCTTAACATGTGGTGTTGTGATCATGGCTGAATTCGTCTTGGTGTTTTTGCTGCTTGTGATCATGGCCAGCTCTCCAAAGCTGCCGTGTATTTATGTCGATCAGGTTCCAGCTTGTTTGGCACCATCCCACATCCTACTACTATACCAGGTACACAGCGTGAAAGAGCTCGTCTGTCACCACAGGCAGCACTACAGTACAGTAAAACAAGGCAGTTGGGTTCGTTTCTGCTGTTTTTCTTCATATTTTATAGGGGGCGGGGGTCACAGATGAGTGCAGTAGCAGTAAAGACTGCTGCACTGATCCCACGTTTGCCTGTATTTGACTAGTCAAGCTTCTGTATAAAAAGATTAAGCATTTAAAAGGTTGAATCTAGCTGTTGATTATTAACAGAGGGACTGTATAGAAATACCAGGTGCCGCGGTGTTGACAGCGGAATGCACAAACACACCCCTCTGCACACGCCCATTGTACTGTATAGCCGTTTCACAGATTTCCTCAGGCTTGAAAACAGGCTTTACTTGGTTCTTGTGCATAATGCATTATTGCAGACTGTTTCAGAAAATGATTCGCAGTGCCCTTTTTTTGCATTGCTTGGCATATTTCGTTATATCACAGACATTTCTGTAGGACTAATCTGCTGTTATGTGTCCATCCTCTCACATGCAGGGGAGATATAATGCATGTGTTATGTCATACATGGCAAATGCTGCCCTTCCTGTGGGAAATCAATAGGCTGGTTTACACTGATTGGCTGTCAGGATTTTTATTAATCATGTGGATTAAATTGGTTAAGTTTGGTTGGTCATATTGATTATAAGGGATATATTGTTATTAACTAAAAGTGTGCAGGACTAATGAAGGACATCTGAGGAATGACCAAATCTGGCTCCTTTGTCTCTTAAACATGGTGTTGTGTAACATGGCCCTTGGTGTGTGTCTGCATTATATCTTCACAGCCTGGAATCTGTAGATTATTAGAAACAAATCTTTCTGATTTTACTTTTCACTGTTTCTCAGCAGTTCCTTTTCCTAGTAAAGTGTGAGCGTGTTTACGATGAGTCGGTTTTAATGGGTATAAATTATGTGTGCATGTCCTCACATGAAACACACTAGAGGGGGACTGGGAAGAATGTTTTTCTCCCTTTCTTTCACTACGAGTCTTGTGTTGGCCTGGGACTCTTGTTTAGGGTGACTGATCAAAGAATTGCACAGAGCGCTGAGGTGTGACTGCTTGTCCGGATCACTGGCTGTCTGTCTGTCTGTTCTGGATAGCTTCAGGCCGCTCCGCAAGGTCTTGGAGTTTAAAATGGTTGGAATGTGTTCTGTCTGTGTTTTCTGTTGAAGGTAGTGCTGAAAAGTGTGGCTTTTCCCGCCCTCTGTGATTATATAACATGTACCAGCCATTTCCAGCAGCAGCAGCAGAGGCAAGCGCATTAAAAACAGATTTCATGTGCGGGCTGTACCATCCCCGTAGACAGATGGACGGTGCCTTTAGGAAAAGAGGAAGCTCATCATTCTACATGCTACAAATACCTCGCAACTGATTGTACTGAATTTAAGTGGTTGATTTTAATGTTTTTCATCTGTTTCCATGCGTTTGGAAGAGATTAGATGAGGTATATCTGACGTGTAATTCAAGCTCCTACTTAACATTTCAACGTTGTTCCATCATGCAGCTTCCTCATGAATGTCCCTTTTTTCTTTTTGCATAACAGGCCAGGTGAGCCGATCTGCCTTGAAACAGCCTCGAAGTTGTAACATCTTCAAGGCGCTCTTCTGCTGCCTTAAAGCTCAGGATGACTCCAAACCACCAACACCACCGCCTTCCCATCAGGCCCTGCTGGAGGCGCAGGAAAATGGGATGGTTGTCAAGGTAACACTATTCTTATTCCAGCAATGTTTCACACCAGCTGAAAACAATGTGAGGAGTTCAGGCCCGGATTTATTTGTGTTTATTTAAAATGTCACTTCCTTGTCACAGCCACACACACACACACACACACACACACACACACACACACACACACACACACACACACACACACACACACACACACACACACAGCTTGAAAAGGAGTTGTTTGAATAGTTTTGCCATCTGTGGGAATAAACATGCTGTAAAAATGTTGTCGTCAAGCAACATTATTTTTTACAACTGCACACTACAACC